TGTATCCCGCGCCTCACGTTTTTCATCCGAGTCGGTCCTCAAAAACGTAGAACTGTCGTCGCGCTCGGGCTCCGCAGGCCTGAGCCCTGACGAAGTCTCAGGCGGGAGCCTCGTCCGTGGGCGAATTGCTAAAAAGTCTCAGGCGGGAGTCCCCTCTGTATGCGTATCCATGTTGGACGACGCTCCGACGACCGCGCGAGGGACGAGGTCGCCGGCCGCACGGGCATCTCGGACGACCAGTGGTGGCTGCATCTCTACGTCACGTTCTCCCGCGCCACGCGCATGCGGGACATGCTGATCCTGCGGCCGCCCCCGCGGGGGTTCCTGGAGAGCGGGCCGCCGGCGTCCCTGGCCAAGCTCGTCCGGGACCCGGACGGGGACGTCCGCGGGGCGGCGCTGCAGGCCAGATCGGCCTGCTGCGAGCAGGGCGGCCTAGAGCTCGCCGCGCGGTTCCTGGACCAGCAGTCCTGCTAGAGTACGATGATGTCGAAATGCTGGGAGCAACCCGAACCTGTCTTACTTACGCTGTGGAGCAGGATGGCAACGAGGTCGGCTACCGCGATTCTAGCGTGTTTCTCCTTCGGATGATTATCATATCCTTCCCCCTCTCCTCCTTGTGTCTCGTTCGGTCAGGCTTCTACGCATGTCCCTCGTCCACCCACCAGCTACATCCTCGCCCTCCTCGTCCCCCCTTTGCATCCCGATCGCCCGCCCCTTCCTCCTCCTCCACTGCTCACCCCGTGTCTCCGAGGCGCAGCGGGCGCTCTCCGGTTCGCAGGGGCGCAGGCGGCCCCGTGCGCGTCGCCATCCGGCGGCGCGCCGCCGCCACGGTCCTGGCGCGCCTGGCCTCAGGTCGGGCATGACCCCCCCTACAGGCGGGTGTTGGACGAAAACTACATAAGATCCCCAAAATGCTCACAATTTTGGAAAATCGCCCCAAAAACCGTCCCCAGATTAGTTCTCTACGATCTTTGCATACTCCTCCCGTAGAGGGACAGGCCCGACTGAAGCCTGACCGCGCTCCCGCGGGGCGGGGAGCGCCCGCGTTTCTGCGAGGCGGCGCGCGCGTGGGCCCCAGGCGGCCTCGGGCGGAGGTGTCGCGAGGGACCAGTCGCAGGCTTGGGCTTCGCCGCTCCGTCGCTGCCCCTCCCCTGGGCTCCTGGACCCCTCGACCTCTCGATCCTCGACCTCTCGATCCTCGACCTCTCGGTCCTCGGCCTCTCGATCCTCGACACTCGTCCCCTCGTCTCTCGACCTCTCGGCCCTCCATCCTCCACCCGCTCTGGTCTGGTGCCCCATGGCAGTTCCGGTCTGCTCAGGGCTGGGCGCCCCTCTCGTTCCGAAAGGTCGTGGGCGGAAGGAGGGCCACCTGCCGCGCGTAAAGAGGGCACAGCGATTGACCTCATGCCCTGTCCGGCAGGCCCCCCCCCCTCCAGACCCACAGGAGCGAAGAACAGCGCACGCATGATTTCTTGGAGGTCCTTGCGGCTTCCTTGCATCTGGGCTGGGCCCCCCTCCTTGGATCGGGGAGCGCGCCAGAGGCAGCGCCGGCAGCGCCGCCGGGGGGCCCCAGCGCCGATCGAAGAAGTCCGCGCGAGGCTCCAGGCAACGATGCTTCTGCGGCTTGTCCTTCGACGACCCCTGCCCCCCCCCCGCTGCCCCCCAGACCTCTTCTCCAGGGGTGCGTCCTGAGGAGAACTTCGAGACGAATCTGGCCGTGGCGACACAGGGCCCCCTGGAAGCCCAGGAAGGCGACAACGAGGGTGGGGCAGCGCTATCGGTACCTTTTCCTCCTCTGACTGTCTCCCTGCTGCACGGGGCCCCAATCGCCCCCTCCCCTCTCCTCCCTCCTTCCTCTTCCTCCCCCTCCTCTTCCTCCTCCTCCTCCTCCTCCTCCTCCTCCTCCTC